CCCGGGGCTGGCTAGGCGCGACAAGGCCTTCATTCTCGCGTTTTGTGCACTGACACGTCCACATCCATCCCGCGTACATACCCCTGCTCTGGTCCGGATCGCGGCTATCACATCTTGCACTCTTCCAAGTTCGTTTCAATCGTGGTTTCGAGTCACTGCCAATGCCTCATCCACACGTTAATAGCCGCGACGATCATGCTCGCGCTCAGTGAATCCTCTATCCGTTTTCGTCAGTGTTATAGGCGTCGTAACCTACTTTGAAGGACGGGCACCTGGTACGATCGCACTCCTGCCCCTACCCGGACCCGCCGATCGGGGATCTTGAACGAAGGATGCATACTAGCCGCCTCGGCCTACGGCGTTCGTCTAGGGTCCTCATGGCATGCCGAACGATAAGTGGGAAACATGATCATAAATAGGCGACTGCATCGTCGACGTTTGGGATGGCAGTGGTGCTGATGGACAAGATTCGACGGGGCGAAGACGCAGACGTTTGGGATAAATGTCTGCGTGGATATTTGCTACTTGACATAGTAAGGACGAAAACGGTACCAAAATCAATGGCATCTAGAACGACTGGGAGAATCCTGCGCTAGTAAACGACATAGTAAGGAAAACCACCTGAACAGCATCTTTCTCCGGCTCGCCCCGTTCGCTGCTCTTTTCGCTACGTCTATGTCCACATGCGAGAGAGGAACGACTACCTTCCTCTCTCTATTGGTTTGGTTTGGTTTGGTTTGGGGAGACTAATGTCCACACCACAGCGCTTCACCAAACGGCAGCCCGGAGAAGTCCGCGGTCAGTAGCGAAGTAACTAACCTGCGGAAGCCTGTTCGCCCAGCTCACCCCGTTTGACGAGCTCTGCTACTCTTTTCGCTGTCATTGAGTCCATTCCACAACGCTGCACCAAATATTGCGCTGTAACCTTCCGTTTCGGCCTGCTGCTCACCAAAGCAGACCCCGTAACCCTTTTCAAAAACACGGTGAGCCAGTCTTCACTTTCCGTCTGGAAGGCGCTACTCCTCGCGGCGTGCTCTGTGAGGAGGGCGCGAATCTTTTTTTGAGACTCCATGCGTTTGTCCTTGTAGTAGGGGGTCCAGTCGCCCGCTGAAGTGATGCATGCGTAGCCGATGGTATCCATGCCATGCTTCTTGATAATACTCTCGCTCTGGATCCACCAGTCTTCCATGTTCACTTCGTTCTCGAGGTGAGTGACAACAAGTGCTATGGGCACCTTCTTGTCGCAAAGGACCTCGTGGAACAGCCGATAGTGGCTTTGCATGGTTTTCGTTATTCTACCTCCCCGCAGGCAATATAGCAAGAGGTGAACGCCACCGGCCGCACCCAGAGAGCGAATGAGTGTGACCGCTTTTTCGATGGCTCCGAGGTAACCGTTGACCCCAAAATCCGGATCCACGAGCCCGACGGTGTCGTATAAGCAGAAATCCCACGACTCAAGGGTGACTTTGTACGCCGTTGAATCCATAGTACAGATGTTAGCGCCCGGGGAGGTTTCTGCAAGATGCTTGCCGGCGATGAGGTTGATCACGGAGCTCTTTCCAGCACCTGCTTCGCCAAAAAGTACGACGTTGAACGTCTTGGGTGAAGCAGCGGGAGAGTTTGGTGCTGAGGGAGGTGGAGCATCGCGTAAAAAGTTGGGTACAGGGGCAAGTGCTGGATCAGGTGGTGCATCGGGCAGAGAGTTGGGCGCAGAGGCAGGTGGAGCGACAATGCCCGCGCTGCTGTTTTGAATGGGAGTCCTTGGGGGAGTGGGTGGCGGTTGGAAACTCGAAACAAACGACAGAACTTCCTTCGCGGACGGACGGATAGACGGGGAATGAGGAGACCAGCATCTCTCAATGAACGTCCATATCTCGTTCCAGGCTGAGGGTGCAAGTGACGCGGGGCGCTCAGGGATCTCACCCTCCCGTATTTTCTTTTCGAGATCAGAGACCTTTGGTGGCCAAGGAGGTTCACCCGAGAGGACCTGAACATCAACGTCAGAAAAGGAGGTCAGCACGATTTACGAAGACCTACAAAGCGTATGACACTCCCAAGTGAGTAGATGTCACTTTTGACTGTTGCTTCGGGTACATGACTTGGGTGGTCAGGGTTTGGGAAGAGTTCTGGCGCTGCCCACATCATAGCACCGCGGCGAACGTTGGCCGTCTGGAGATATTCTAATGCTGTGCACACTTCACCAACGACACTAGTCATCCCGAAGTCCGTAAGGCAAGCATTGTTTTCGCCGTCCACGAGCACGTTCATCTAGCGCAATTGGATGTGACAGCTGCGCAATCCAGTGAAGTGTGCGACGTACGTAGTGGAGGTCACCGTGCACAACGTGTTGCGAGTGTACTGACTCGAGGTTAGAACAACAGGTTCTCTCATGGTGAGTGAGACGCAGGTGCTCACAATACTCCAGACCAGCGGCCACACCTTCGATCTGGACGACCATGGCTAGCATGAGCACACGCTCCGCAGAGTGCAAACACGTTGTGACTCACGAGGTGTAATCGAACATCGATGCCCAGTGGTTCGCGTCCATTGATGCGGGCACGGAGCGTTCCGCCGGGCATCCAGATAGAGACAAAACAGGGGTAGTAGGCATCATTGAAGCCCCGAACAGTGCCCTCGAAGGGCACGATGTTGGGATGTCTCAGTCTCCCCCATATGCCTACCTCACGACGCAATCTCTGGAATAACAGATATGGTTAAGAGTGCAGACTGCTTCCAGGTCACACTAAGAGATCGACTTACTCGTTCGAAATCCTCACAGTTGGTAGTGGGGGCTGCACTGTCAAAGAATTTGACTGCAACCTTAACGAGCAGTCAGAAATCGTGAGGCGGCACGAGCAGATACCGACCTTCTTGGATGTTCCATCCGCTGATAGCAGCGTACAAGGAAACACAATACTAAATGCACCACGAGCTGCAAAGTCTCCAGTACTAGGCAGGAACTGTGTTTT